CATATCTAATGAATATCACATTTTAATTTAATATATTTAAATTGAGATATTATATATATATATATATATATATATATATATATATATCACATTAATTCTGTTTAAGATACGTCGTAGTGTTATTTATGTACAGAAGATTGTAAGCAACCCTCTGTATTAAAACATAAGTGTACTACTGATTGTCGACAAAAGTCTTAAGTTTGTGGTCCTGTATATTTAACAGATAACAGGGACTCCATCAGTGTTGTAGATCATTCCTGTGGTCGGTTCATATGTTCCAGCAAGGTAGTAAAGATCTTCACTGTCTTGGTACTTTTTTGTCTTTATCATCTGCTCATACTGTGCAAGTTCTACGACCAAACACTTGTGGGAGACCGTCTGCACATCATTTTCATCCACATGAGATGACCGGTACAGTGCTCTCTGCAAAAGACGTAATATTTTTCATCATATTGTTTTTTCCTCTGAGAAAAAGTGTACATTTTCTTATTTTATTAACGGGTAACAAGTAGTATAAGCAAAACAGCATTACAGAATAAGGACATGCTATTGGATATACAGGTGTACTTTCCTTATGTTTCCAGAACTCAACAAAATAATGAGTTACTAGTTCAGATTATTTATTAAGCATACAGTTAGGTCCATATATATTTGGACACAGTCACAATTTTAGATTTTTTCAGGTATTTACTAAAACATATTCCAGTTATAGTTATATAATGGATATGGGCTGAAAGTGCACACACTCAGGTTTAATTTGAGGGTATATACAGTACATGCAAATTGGAGGAAGGGTTTAGGAATTACAGCTCTTAAGAGTAGCCATCCGCCCTTTTTCAAGGGACCAAAAGTAATTGGACAATTGAATCAAAAGTTGTTTCATGGCCACGTGTGGGCAACTACTTCATTATTTCTTCATCAGTTAAGCTGGTAAAAGGTCTGGAGTTGATTCTAAGTGTGGTATTTGCATTTGGAATCTATTGCTGGGAACCTACATCATGCGTTCAAAGGAGCTGTCCATGCAAATGAAACAGACCATTGTAAGGCTTCAAAAACGAAACAAATCCATCAGAGAGATAACAGCAACATTAGGAGTCACCAAATCAACAGTTTGGTGCATTTTGAGGAAAGAAGAACGCACTGGTGAGCTCAGCAACACAAAAAGGCATGGACATCCACGGAAGACAACAGTGGTGGATAATTGCATTCACAACATCCAGACAAGTGAAGAACACTCTCCAGGAGGTGCACAGCAGAGCAATACAAAGCAGCTTGTCTACATAGTAAAGCACACACAGCACACTATGTAAAACACACACAGCACAAAGGTAACGCTTTGATTGCCTCAGATGTTAACCTCTTAATGCCCAGTGTCATTAGTACAGCGTCAGTGCTTTTTATTAGCACTGATCACTGTATTAGTGTCACTGGGGATGTCAGTTGCAGTTAGTTCCCCCCATGTGTCAGAATGCCCGCCGCAGTCACGCAATACGTCGCTGATCGCAGCCATTACTACTAAAATAAAAATAAAAATTCTAGTATATATACACAACCATTTGTAGATGCTATAACTTTCACATAAACAAATTAATTTACACATATTGGGATTTTTTTTTTAGCAAAAGACATGTAGCAGAATACATTTTCGCCTAAATTTATGATGAAATTTGATTTAAATTTTTTTATTGGACATGTTTAATAGCAAAAAGTAAAAAATATTGTGGTTTTCAAAATTGGTCTTTTTTTGTTTATAGCACAAAAAAAACCCAAAACGCACAGGTGATCAAATACCACCAAAAGAAAGCTCTATTTGTGGGGAAAAAAGTGCATAACTTTAATTTATGTACAACGTTACATGACCGTGCAATTGTCAGTTAAAATAACGCAGCGTTGTATCGCAAAAAATGGCCTGGACAGGAAGGGGGGGTAAATCCTCTGGAGGGCAAGTGGTTAAGAAAGCTATATGTATGTACTGTATGTACGTGAGAGTATATGTATGTATGCACAGTATGTGTTTTATGTGTGTATATGTGTGTGTGTGTGTGTTTGTGTGTGTGTTACTTTCCTGATCCCTACACTCTAAATGCAGCACCACTATGCTGCAACTGCATGCAGTGCACGCGGTTGCAGGGTGACTCCATTCATCATTGATGCCTGCTGAAGGCAACAGGGGGTATCATTCCTACCATACCCGCAAAGCATTGTGGCTACAGAATGTGTACAACCCTGGCTGCTGCATCTGTAGGTAAAAGGGAGAGTAGTGAGGTGGGGCATTGTTTTACCATCCCTCAATGTCATGTATGAAAGAGCTCTTAGGCTAGGTTCACACTATTGTGGCTCTATGAGCTGTGTTTGTTTGGGCGTGACAGCCCATTCATTTGAAGGGCCTGCTGTGTCTCATGCAGGAAAAGGTTCTTGCACCATTTTTAAACCGCAGTGAACTGGAAATCATTTTATGCAACATGCAATTTCCCAGCGTTTCCCACATCTGCAAACACTCGCATTAGTGTGAACCTAGTCTTGGGGTACCTTGAGACTGAATATACCTTTAAAGGGTGCCTTGACTGAAAAAAGGTTGAGAAACACTGCATTAGATAACTGTGTCCTGCTGTACATCTAGGGAATTGTGGAGCACTCTCTACAGTGGAAATTTTATAGTTGGCGGAGTTTACAATACACTATACAAGAAGAAATATTTGCATTTATGTTAGTGAGGGGGAAAGAGATACCTTAGGTAGCACATGTAGTGCAGCCTTCTAATGGACTTTGCTGGGGATGGCTCAGATGCAGGGACCATTTTCTTTACATAGCAATGATAACGTCGAGGTAGAAGACAAGTGTAGGGCAGCATATTGTTATGAAAATTAGATCTTTCTTTCTTGGAAGTCTTATTTGGTTGTGTAGTTATGCCATGTCTGAGCTTTAAGCAACTAAAGAACACACTTTTCTGTGTCGAAAACTCAGTTTGTAATTTTTAGAGGGATTTGAGAATGCTATTGGAGTAGAGCTGGCATGGGTATTCAGTATCTGTCTTCCCCAGTGTTCAGTCCCCCACAAATTGTAACCGTTCTAAAAATTTTTTTTTTTTTAAATATACAGATATATTTAAATGACTTACAACATGAATATACAGTGGGGAAAATAAATATTTGATCCCCTGCAGATTTTGTTTGAAGTTTACCCACCTACAAAGAAATGAAAGGTCTATACTTTTATCATAGGTGTATTTTAAATGATAGAGACAGAATATCAACCAAAAATCCAGAAAAAAACACATGATACAAAATGTTATAAACCGAGTTTCAGTTCAGTGAGTAAAATAAGTATTTGATCCTCCTACCAACCAACAAAAATTCTGGCTCACACAGACTGGTTATATGCTCATGTGGTACACAGATTAACCCTGTCAATTTAAGAAGGTGCTCCTAATGACAACTCGTTATGTGTATAAAAGACACCTGTCCACAGAAATTCTTTCCATTCAAACATCACCGCCATGGGCAAGACCAAAAAGCTGCCAAAGGACGTCAGGGACAAAATTGTAGACCTGCACAAGGCTGGAATGGGCTACAAGACCATCAGCAAGAAGCTTGGTGAGAAGGATACAACTGTTAGAGCGATTATTCGCAATTGGAAGAAATACAAAATAACTATCAATCGCCCTCAGTCTGGAGCTCCATGCAAGATTTTGCCTCTTGAGGTAAGGATGATCATGAGAAAAGTGAGGGATTAGCCCAGAACTACAACAGGAGGAGTTTGTGAATGATCTCAAGGCAGTTGGGACTACAGTCACCAAAAAAATGTTGGTAACACAATACGCTGCCATGGATTGAAATCTTGCAGTGCCTGCAAGGTCCCCCCCCTCCTTAAGAAGGCACATGTACAGGCCCGTCTGAAGTTTTCCAATGAACATCTAAATGATTCAGAGAAGGACTGGGATTTGGAGAAAGTGCTGTGGTCAGATGAGACCAAAATTGAGCACTTTGGCATTAGCTCGACTCGCCATGTTTGGAGGAAGAAAAATGCTGACTATGACCCTAAGAACACACCATCTCTACAGTCAAGCACAGAGGTGGAAATATTATGCTTTGGGGCTGTTTGTCTGCACAAGGTATAGGCCGGACTTTGCAGCATTGAGGGGCCAATGGGTGGGGCCATGTATTAGAAAATTTATGGAGGGAGCTAAATCTTCGAGTTGCCAAGTGACTGCCAAGAAACCTTAAGAATTTAGAGCTCTGTAAAGAAGAGTGGACCAAAATCCCTCCTGAAATGTGTACAAACCTGGTAACCAACTACAAGAAACGTCTTATCTCTGTGCTTGCCAACAAGGGTTTCTCCACCAAGTACTAAGTTGTGTTATGCTTGGGGATCAAACACTTATTTTACTCACTGAACTGCAACTCAGTTTATAACATTTGTATCATATGTTTTTTTTCTGGATTTTTGGTTGATATTCTGTCTCTAGCTAAAAGAAAAATAAAGTGGTTAAGCTAGGAGTGATTTCACTGTGAAGGAGAAAAGGTCCATCCCCCTAGGACACTTGCAAAAATTGAGGACTCGGAGTGGGGTGGGGCTATATAGGGGAGGCAATCGGAGGGCATGTACTTGAAAGCTCTGCTAGCTTTCAATCAGCTGCAGGTAAAAGCCTATAACTCAGGGTCTATGAATATACTTTGGCTGTGTCCTGTACTAGACCACTAAGATAAAAGGTTTTAACCTGGAGGTGCACTAGAATTTCATATTTTTGTTTAGACCTGCAAGTGCTACTATTTTGTACAACAAGAAACTCACTAGATCTACAGACATCTCTGGCAACCAAGCCATTTTATGCTCTCCGCTCCAGCAGGAGGTGCAGTACCTATGTTCAAAGGAAAGCACTTCATATTTGTGAGGGTGTTTTTCATATTTATGGATTATTTTATAAATACATTTTTTTTGCAGAACTACCATATTTCACGCTCCTCCATAAGACGCACCTGACCATAAGACGCACCTAGGTTTTAGAGGCGGAAAACAAGAAAAAAAATATTCTGAACCAATGGACTGCAGACATAGTACAGGAAATGACCAGAGACTGCGGACACAGTACAGGAGATGGCCAGAGACTGCAGACATAGTACAGGAGATGACCAGAGACTGCAGACATAGTACAGGAGATGACCAGAGACTGCAGACATAGTACAGGAGATGACCAGAGACTGCAGACATAGTACAGGAGATGACCAGAGACTGCAGACACAGTACAGGAGATGACCAGAGACTGCAGACACAGTACAGGAAATGACCAGAGACTGCGGACACAGTACAGGAGATGACCAGAGACTGCAGACACAGTACAGGAGATGACCAGAGACTGCAGACATAGTACAGGAGATGACCAGAGACTGCAGACACAGTACAGGGAATGACCAGAGACTGCGGACACAGTACAGGAGATGACCAGAGACTGCAGACACAGTACAGGAGATGACCAGAGACTGCGGACACAGTACAGGAGATGACCAGAGACTGCAGACACAGAACAGGAGATGACCAGAGACTGCAGACACAGAACAGGAGATGACCAGAGACTGCAGACACAGTACAGGAGATGACCAGAGACTGCAGACACAGTACAGGAGATGACCAGAGACTGCGGACACAGTACAGGAGATGACCAGAGACTGCAGACACAGAACAGGAGATGACCAGAGACTGCGGACACAGTACAGGAGTTGACCAGAGACTGCGGACATAGTACAGATGACCAGAGACTGCGGACACAGTACAGGGAATGTCCAGAGACTGCGGACATAGTACAGGAGATGACCAGAGACTGCAGACACAGTACAGAGGATGACCAGAGACTGCAGACACAGTACAGAGGATGACCAGAGACTGCGGACACAGTACAGGAGATGACCAGAGACTGCGGACACAGTACAGGAGATGACCAGAGACTGCAGACATAGTACAGGAGATGACCAGAGACTGCAGACATAGTACAGGAGATGACCAGAGACTGCAGACATAGTACAGGAGATGACCAGAGACTGCAGACATAGTACAGAGGATGACCAGAGACTGCAGACACAGTACAGAGGATGACCAGAGACTGCGGACACAGTACAGGAGATGACCAGAGACTGCGGACACAGTACAGGAGATGACCAGAGACTGCAGACATAGTACAGGAGATGACCAGAGACTGCAGACATAGTACAGGAGATGACCAGAGACTGCAGACATAGTACAGGAGATGACAATGGACTGCAGACATAGTACAGGAGATGACCAGAGACTGCAGACACAGTACAGGGAATGACCAGAGACTGCGGACACAGTACAGGGAATGACCAGAGACTGCGGACACAGTACAGGGAATGACCAGAGACTGCGGACACAGTACAGGTAATGACCAGAGACTGCAGACATAGTACAGGAGATGACCAGAGTCTGCGGACATAGTACAGGAGATGACCAGAGACTGCAGACACAGTACAGGGAATGACCAGAGACTGCAGACACAGTACAGGGAATGACCAGAGACTGCGGACATAGTACAGATGACCAGAGACTGCGGACACAGTACAGGAGATTACCAGAGTCTGCAGACACAGTACAGGAGATGACCAGAGACTGCAGACACAGTACAGGGAATGACCAGAGACTGCGGACATAGTACAGATGACCAGAGACTGCGGACACAGTACAGGAGATGATCAGAGTCTGCGGACATAGTACAGGAGATGACCAGAGACTGCAGACACAGTACAGGGAATGACCAGAGACTGCGGACACAGTACAGGGGATGACCAGAGACTGCGGACATAGTACAGATGACCAGAGACTGCAGACAGTGCAGGGGATGATCAGAGACTGCAGACAGTAAAGGAGATGACCAGAGACTACGGAACTTTGGGGAGGGAGGGGGAGCGGGTACCTGAATTTGACAGGTACCCGCTCCCATTTACGCGGAGTTGTCCTTCCCTCTTCTTCCCGCTCCGGCTTCTGTGACAGCCGGGTGCCCACTGCGCATGCGCGAGAAGCGCTGCGCTTTGTGAATGGCCCGGCGCCTTCTGGGACCTGCCATGTGTCCCAGAAGACACCGGACCATTCACAAAGTGCAGCGCTTCTCGCGCATGCGTAGTGGGCACCTGGCTGTCACAGAAGCCGGCGCGGGAAGACTGTACGGCGCTCGAGCGAGCAACAGGTAAGGTCCTGCAGGAGAGAAGAGTTGAGCGGCCGGCCCGATATTCTGACATGGTGGCGACAGAAATACCGGACCGACCGCTTTATATTCGCTCCATAAGACGCACTCCTGACATTTTCCCCCCTTTTTTGGGGGGAAAAAAGTGCGTCTTATGGAGCGAAAAATACAGTATATATTTTATGTTAAATTTGTGTATTATTAGCTCTGAAATGTGATTGCTCTCCTGGAACCTTTAATAAATATTCCTTTGGACACAAGCACTGCCACACCTTATAGGGACAGAGACAGCAGCAAAACAAAAAAACCTTTGTTGTTTGTAGAGTGTGCTAGAGAGCTAGAACGATATACAATAGTGTCTGTTAATTATTTCTAACCTTTGCACATTCTATCTAAAAGTCACAGTGTTATGAATACAGAGGAAAGTTTTGCCTGGACTTTCATTTTAAAATAGAACTATGGGCAAAATATAAAAATTACATAAGTAATGCATTCTGTCAGCACTGACACAGCAGCTTTGTTTTTCTGCCCTCACTTAAGATGCTGTAGTTACAATAAACCTTTAATTTTTCTGCTTCCTACAACGGAGACAACGTTGTTCATTCTGCTCTAAAAATTGCATAGCAGCGGTCTCTGTTAAATAAACAGATTAAGGCCTAACACAAACTAAACATTTTAGTTTCTAATGGTTTTTATTAAGTAATTTTTTACAACAGGTAGTACAAGCAAATAGTATACCATCATACATACAAACATAGGGCACTAGGAACAACAAATTGTACCATGAACAACTGACGGTTTAAGGCAAAACGCTTAGTACAACCAAAACGAGAGCAGGTGTTTTTCGCCTCGTCAGTATATAAAAAAAACAATACAGAACAGAGGAAAGGAAAAGAGAAAAGCAAAGAAAAGATTAGAAGAGAGGGTCAAGATAGGAGACATTAAGGCACAGATATGTATTGAATCCATGGGTTCCATACACTATCAAATTTCTTCAAAGCATTTTGCAGAATACAGGTGAGCTTGTCATTGACCATAATCCAGTTGAGTTTCTTTTTAACATAATCAAGTGGAATAGCCGATTGCTGCCAATGTCTAGCTATGGTGATTCTCGCTGCCAAAGAAAATGACAGCTTATGGGATTTCTTGGAAACATTAACAGGGAATTTCTGAAAGAGCGCTGTCTCGGGGATCTGCGTATATTTACTCCTGTCACAGAGTTTACCAAGTTACAAATGCAAATCCAAAATTCATTTGCAAGTGGACACTGCAACCAGATGTGATACATAGATCCCACCCGGCCACATCACCGAAAACACATCACAGAAGCAGACAGATGCATGCTTGCAATCCGAGTGGAGACCAAATACCATCGCAACAAAGTTTTATAATTTGCTTCAGTTAGGGTAGTATTGATTGAAATTTTTGGCAGTGCAATTGCAATATCTTGTCAATCCAATAACTTATAATTGACAGCTAAATCACTTTTCCAGTGCTCCATATAAGGAAGTTTACAAAGCGGATCAGTGAGGAGGCATATATTACGGAGATACAGCCTTTTGCAGGAGCCCTATTCCGGCAAGAAAATTCAAAGGAGGTAAGCAAAGGCGATGCATCCAATAAAGCAAGCTTCGAGTAGAGAAATTACACAATCTGGCTATATCTGAAAATTTCAGAGGCAGGCATATGCAATTTGTCTTTAAAATATTGCAAAGAATATATGCAAGAACCATTAAGATAGACTCCTATCCGCAACAAGCCTTTATTGATCCACCATTTAGAAGGGGCCGGCTTCAAACCAGGCACAAATTCAGGGCTATAAAAAACCGGAGCTACAGGTGTATGTGGAGATACCAATGATTTACGATGGCGAACCCTGTCCCAAACTGCCAAAGAAAATGGCTGAGTGGGGCACAGTATAGGAGGGCGTAAGCGATTAGGAAGCCAAAGCAACGCCCGACAGCGAGCGGGTGACAAGAGAGAGCTTCGATAGATACCCAAAGGGGAATATTTCCCCCAGCGGTGGTGTAAGCCAATTGGGCGATTTGGGCAGCCTGGAAGTACGTCTGGAGACTAGGGAGGCCAATAACCCCCCAAGGTCTGGGAGCATACAGCGTCTTGTGATTCATCCGAGGCCATCTGTTATGCCAAATAAAACGGAGGACCTCAGCTTGTAAATGCCGTAATTCTCGTCTCGGAATCGACTCCGGTAAAGCCTGGAAATAATATAACAATCTGGGTAAAAACTTAATTTTGATGTGGAATTGACTCCAAACAATGATAAAGAATATGCCGCCCAATGGCTAAGATTGTCTTTGAGCGTCTTAAAGAGGTGAAGGTCGTTAGCCTGATGTAGCATCACAATTGAAGCGGTGAGATGTATCCCTGAATAAGGCAGCTACTTACTCGCCCATTGAAAATCATAGGAAGCACGAAGTTGTTGTTCCTCAAGCATGGATAAGGAAACATTAAGGGCTGTTGTCGTTTGGGAATTAAGAGAAAGCTCAGAAAGAGCGGGAAAATTGACGTAATACTGACAATAAATTAGGGATAGTTATCATAGGGGAAGTACTATACATAAGAACGTCATCGGCGAACAGTGCACATTTATGTTCTTGTTGTCCGCAATGAACACCATAGATTTGGGGATGGGAGCGCATGGCCATAGCCAGAGCCTCAATTGCCAGTGCAAATAGGAGTGGGGACAATGGACAGCCCTGTCTAGTACCTTTTCGGATTGTAAATACAGAAGATTTGTAGCCTTTAATGGAGACCCGAGCTGAGAGATTATCATATAACGAGCGCAGTAAAACCAAAAACGGCGGCCCGAATCCAATGGCCTTCAGGGCAGTAAACAAATATTCCCACGTCAGACTATCAAAAGCCTTCTGAAGGTGCAGAGAAAGAAGCAAGAGTGCCGGAGAAAGGGGAGCATCTCAATTAGAACGGACAGCTGAGATCAAAGTAATAGATCTGCGAATCTGGTCTAATGTTTGACAACCTAATATGAACCCCGACTGATCTTTAAGAATATATTGTGCCAGAAAGGAATTAAGACGTACGGCTAGAAGTTTTATTAAAATGTTTAAATCACAATTAATTAAGGAAATAGGGTGATAATTGCGAACATCAGAAGAATCTTTATTGGGTTTGGGAATAACACTAATATATGCCATAATTTCATCTAACGGGACCCCTCCTCCTTCCTTCAAGGAATTGAAGTATAGTGTCATATGTGGAAGAAGATGAGCAGAAAAAGTTTTATAGTATGTACTAGGATGGCCATC